CTCTATTAACAGCGAGATGTGAACTCGCGAGCGAAAGCAAACTTATTTTTTATAATTTTGTCTCACGTCTCTCATCCTGCTGACGAAAAGGTCTTTGAATAAAATATTAAATAATGCGAAAATTGCACGCAAGTAGATTATAAAACTTAAGAAGAAATTTTTGCTGAGCCAATCCAAAGCCACGAGCTCTCGCACACTAAAACGTGCAAAATCCTTCCTCTTGCTTCTGGGCGTTCATTGCCATCCGCCGTCCGAATTATTCAACACATCATCCTGCTCTGCCACGCATTAAAAATAATATACTTTCACCTTTATTAATGAGCATTTTTATCAAGCTTGTTACGCATTTCCTACGTAACCGCTCGCTCGGAAGGATATTAAAAAAGCGCCAAAGACCTTAAAGGCAACAAAACAGGATTCTTAATTTTAACAACCCGGACGCGACCCGCGCCCTGTAATCAGAAAACACGCTAGGATTTGCCAAAATTCGCCTTTTAGTACAAGCTGCTCCAGTATTAATTATTAATTTTTTTTCTTAATCTAGATAGGATAAGTAAAAGGTTTATTAAACATCATAGTGTACAAATACATATTACATGATGTAGATACACAATTACAATATTATAAAATTTATATCTATATCTATTTAAAATTACTTTATGACAGTTTTTTATAAATCGATCAATTCATTGGTAGCATTAAAAAATATGCTATGGTTACGGGAATTACAAAAATGTGAAATATTTAGATGAATAAATCTTTAAAAGAGCTTAAGAGACTTAAAAGTTGCCAAAATGAAGCAAAAAATGAATTGAAAAATTGAAACCGAGTGAACCTCGTTGCAAAGAAAAAATGAAAAAATATTTTGTAACGAGGTTTGCCCGGTTTCAATTTTTCATGAAATCCGCCTCGAGTGTTAGCATTCAATTTAAATAATGATTTTATTGTAATTAATCATTTATTTATAATAATAATCTGAGTTTTCGAATATATTTCAAAATTAGCCCGGGCCTTCCTAAAATAACAAACATTTTAATTCAAATTCAGTAGCAAATATACAAAATTAAATACACAGCGTAATATATTTTGTTAATAAATATTTTGGATTTACTTCCAAGTTTGACATCGATCTTGATTTTTGGAAGCAGAGTCATTGCCACGTATGTACCAAAATCATGAGCCGTGCTAGGTATCTTGTAACATGTTTACTTGCATACGCGCCCGGGCCGCAAATGTGTATCATTTTAAGTTCAATCTGCTTGGTGGGCACGTACATAAGGTACAGAGCGCGCCTTTGATCTCTCACTTTCTAAACTTTCTTTTTCTTCTCGGTGCACCTTCTCAGCATCATCGCGCGCTGCAGCACTAGACCGGCGAGTGCTTGCAGTACCACATCATCAAGTACGTGGCCCGCGGCACCGGCTTGTCTGATAAAAACTGATTAATAAGACCATAATACGTTTAACAATCTAAAAAAGGGCCTTTGTGAAGAAAAACAATAAAAATTACACCACAGAATATGAGGTCATAAAAATTAAAAATATCGATATAATTAAAACTTAACCTATTAAAGAAGAAAAGGTTTTTTGGTTAATAGCGATTTATTTTATTAAAAATCAAATTTTATATTTGTTTACATTTTTGCCTGGCCTAACACAGGAGTACGCGTGCAATTTGGAGACACGCACGGCGCTGAGCTTAGTTTACGTCGTGTCTCTCTTTCTCCCACAATGAGATTATCGCACATCTTTCCTCTTAAAAGCTGGTGAGGTAATTATGACTTTGCAACACCTGCCCTGCTGTCTTTTCAGCGTATAAGAGACGCGTGTGTGTCATGAGCAAATCCCTACAACGATCAAAATAAAAATTTATTGATCTGGTTTATAATTCAATTCAATTCAATATAATTTTATTTTGGTATAAGCTAACGTACACAATGTATACAGCTTTTACAAAACATGTCAATAAAGGATATATTCTAGTCTGATTCTAAAGTAATCATAGTTTTCAAAGCAAAAAATTCACTCATGTCATAAAACTGGTTTTCCATCACGTAATATTTCACATTTTTCAATAGTTCTTCATCAGATTTACATCTTTTTATATTAATAGGCAGCGCATTAAAAACTCTAGGTACCATAACAGCAGGACTTTCTACAGTTATTTGGAGTCTACACCTATTTTCAACGAGATCATTCTCACTCACATTAGACTGATTGCCACGCGTAACTTTCCTGCTGTCCACTACTCCGGGGTCACTATACCTTTTAAACATTTTGCGATTTCTAACAAGGAACTTAATACACTCGAGGATATAAAGGGAGTAGACAGTTAATATTCCGTATTTCTTAAACAGTGGTTTACAAGATTCCAAAGCCTTATACCACTTTCCATAATATAATCCAGCAAGGGCACGCAAAACTCTCTTCTGGGCTACGAATACATCTGACATATTACTAGAGCCACCCCAGACAATAATTGCATACAAGATATGACTCTGTACATGGGCAAAGTAAATCATTTTCAAAACATTATCCGATACTTTATGTTTCAGTTTGGTAAATTGATATGTTACGGACCTTAGTTTATTCACAACATGTTTACAGTGCTCAGCCCAATTCATAGTATCAGTTATTTGCACGCCAAGAAGTTTACTATGAGCTACTATTTCAACCTCTTTTTCGTTAATTTTAATCACTGGTGCCACGAGATTTCTAGTTTGATGGGTATGAATTTGAAGTAATTTAGATTTGTCACAATTAATTTTTAGGTGATTTTGTTTAGCAAAGTCTATAAAGTCACTATTAGTCATTTCAGTCTTGTTATTTACATCACCAAAATTTTCACCTCGTATTATTGCAGTTGTATCGTCAGCAAATATAACAAGTAACGCCGCCACAATACTGAGGGGCATATCATTAATATACGTTGTAAAGCTTGTAGGACCAATTATCGTACCCTGTGGCACACCCATATCACTCGAGATAATATCAGACTTAATTTCAGTTACAAAGTGATCACAACCGATATTTTGCAATTGTACATATTGTTTACGATTCGTCAAGAAGCTGAACAACCATGCGAGCGATTTACAGTCCAAACCATATTTCTTTAATTTCTCAATTAATAAAGGAGGATATAGAGTGCCAAAGGCATTACTAAAATCATATAATATTACATTTACTTTTTCCTTGGCTTCTAGAGCGTCATACAAGTTCGTTACATAATTATAAAGAGCAGTGACTGTACTTTTATTTTTGCGAAAGCCATGTTGTTCTGGTGAGATAATGTTACAACTATCTAGGTGTTGTTCAAGCCGGCTTAGGTAAGCTTTTTCAAATATTTTCGATATTGAGGGTGTTATTGCGATAGGTCGGTAATTTGATGGGTCTTCTCGTTCACCTTTGTTTTTAAATATTGGGATAATTTTTGAGAGCTTCATATTATCCGGAAATTTACCTTCGGAGAATGAGTTGTTAATAATATATGTAAGTGGCAAAGTAATATACAGCGATATTTTTTTAAGTACATTTACGGAGATGCCATCCCACCCTGATGAATTTTTAGAAGGGAGGTTTTGAATTATACTGTATATTTCATAATCAGACATGGGTTCGAGATGAAATTCAGGGAATAGCGGTTCACTATCACAAATATTATCATGCGGAGCAGCTGGCTTATTTTCAACAAACATTTGATTGAGGTAGTTAGCTATATGTAATTGAATGTACTCTTTTTTATTAGCAGTATTAAGTTCCCTAATTGGTGCTAGACACTTGTTTATTCCTATAGATTCATTGATAATTTTCCATGCGGCGCTAGATTTATTATTAGATCCATTAATTTTTTTATCATTATATTGCCGTACTTCATTGTTAATACATTCTCCGACCTGTTTCTTCATCATTTTTATTTTATTTTTTAATACAGATTTCTGTTCGGGATTATTTGTAATTTTACTTTTTTGAGACAATTCTAGTAATTCTTGCCTCAGTTTTTTTGTTTCAGCAGATAGTTTTATTTTCCCGATTTGATTGGCTCTATTCACAGTTTTTTTCATTGGGAAGGATTCACCAAAATAACTTATTAATTTACTCATGAATACTTCGCTTTGCTTATCGACACTAATCTCATTATACACTGCGCTCCAATTTTCATTTTGTAAAAAGTTAGAGAATTTTTGCCAATTTAATTCATTATAGTCTCTAATAAATGAAAAAGAATCCTTTGCTTTTATAATCGGAATATCCATACTTGCGTGGACTGCATTGTGATCAGAGAATGGCGCTGGGAGTACAGCACAGGTAGTAGCACATGAAATATTAGTATAAATATGATCTATTAAGGAGCCAGAATTATTTTCCTCTCGAGTATTTTGAGTGTTATTAACCAGGCGAAGGGAAAATGAGTTTGTTATTGATTGTAAATTCACAGCATGAGAATTATCATTATTTAAGTTTATATTAAAATCACCAGCTATTATCACATTTTCATGAAATCTCTTTTGACCAACTAGTGTTTCAAATTGCTCTAGAAATTTAGGGATTTGGCAATTAGATTTTAGATTACTTGGTCTATATAAACCTAATAAGCTTATTTTCCTATTATTGAATATTATGGAGGCACCACAGATTTCAAACTTCTTTGGGATAGATTTAATTTTTAATTTTTGAACTTTGCAATCTAATGAATTATTTTTAAGTATCAACACTCCTCCTCGTTCTTGATTCGCTCTACCAAAATACGCAATGAGTTGATAACCATCAATTAGAAAATTAGTTACTTCTAGTTCATTTAGCCAATGCTCAGTCACAAAAATGAGATCTGGTTTCTTATCCAGATTATAAATAAAATCACTAAAAAGTGCTAACTTATGTGGCGTACGTAGGCCCTGCGCATTTAAATTCAGTATTGCTAAATTATTATTTCTGCTCTTATTATTAATATTACTATCTACTTGGCTGTCGCTTGGGATTTGCCCCCCAGGTTTTTTCGCTGTTGATGTTGACGCTTCGTTACGAAGGCACTGGATGCAGGTGATGCTGGCAACGATGGCGATGCAGATCTCGGTCTTGGTTTCTGAAGGTCTTTGATTTTTTCCCTCGAATTCAGTTTCCCATAGATGTTAGTCTTTAGCAAGCTGGAAGCAAGAGTAGCCTTAGCCGAGGTCACGCTAGACGTTTTTGGGTCGGACTCACCTTGGCGGGTGGGGCCAGACGCGGACGGTTCTGATATCTTTGTCTCCTTGTCCACGCGTCCGATGACCCCACCCTGGTGAGTAGATAGCTCAGTGGCGCCATTTATAGCCGCGCCCGGCCCAGGTTGAGGCTGCTCTGCGTCGCTATCTGGTTCAGGATTTACACTGGAAACAATGGCCTCATTACTCGACGACACAAAAGACCCGTCCATCTCAGCTGAGACGTCGGCCACCAAATTCAGGGATGACTCACCTTGACGGGCGGGGCCAGAAGCGGACTGTGACCTGGTCTCCTCACCCACACGTCCGATGACCCCACCCTGGTGAGTGAATAGCTCAGTGGCGCCATTTAAAGCCGCGCCCGGCCCTGGTTGAGGCTGTACTACGTTGCTCGTCGTCATTGGCTCAGGTCTAGACAGGCTAGAAACAGGGGCGTCGTCAGTCAGTGGCAAAGGAGATCTGCTCTCATCCGCAGCAACATTGGGTTTTAAAAAAGAAACTGACTCACCTTGGCGGGCGGGGCCAGACGCGGACGCGGACTGCTCCGACACCCTAGTCACCTTGTCCACGCGTCCGATGACCCCACCCTGGTGAGTAGACAGCACTTTGGCGCCATTTAAAGCCGCGCCCGGCCCAAGTTGAGGCTGCTGGTTGGTCTCTCCATCGAGCACTGGCAGCGGAAGGCCTCGCCGAACCATCATCTTCTCCAGGTCAGTTGCCAATCGGTGCGGGGAGCGCCTTTGAGGGTTTTGGACGTTTTCGGGTTTCAGCTCGTCCGCTTGGTCCAAAATATCAGGTGGACTAGAGTTATCAGGGTTCCCCTTTTCCTCTTCAGGAGCCAGAGCTGCAAAGGACGATGCACTGGAAAAGTCAGGCTGCGTTACATATTCAGGTTTCCTCTGTGCTTGACGAGCAAAGGCGCCTCTCCCCTCTCCTGGGTGGCGGTAGACAAGGATGTCGATGTTTAGGCCCCTGAAATCCTGCAGAATGACCTGCCTCACCCACTGCCACGGTTGTTTGTCGAGGCCGGCACCGATCTGGGGCATAGCAAGGACCGGTATCTTTTTAATATGGCATTGGTGGGCCAACTCACGGATCGTCCTACGGAGCTCCTCACGTCGAGGGAGGCAGTACCTGGAGAAAGGCTTGGTGACCAGGTGAAATATATACCTTGTCACCCTGCCATCGATGGAGAGCGGAATCGCTGCGACTTGTCCTGGCCTCCACTTTCGGCTGCGCAGATATCGCAGTACTGGGTCCGGGCAATAACGCTGCCGCATCTCAACCGCAAGTCCTTTGCCCATCACGAAGTCGCCGCCGACACAGTGGCAAAGAGAGGCATCTTGAGGCGCGTCTTGAAAAAGATTTTCGTCCAGTTCAACCATTCGCGGGCCATTATATTCAAATTGTTGTTGTTTTGGCTGAGCAGGCTGCTCATTGGTCCATTCGACTAGGTCTGTCACTTCATTGGTTGAAGAAGAGGACGACATTTGCGGGACTTTCGGGGCCAGGACGCGCACCTTCAGGTCGTCGACAGCAGTCTGGATGTGTGAAACACTTTCCTGGAGCACTTGGAGAGCCGTTCTAATGCAGATGGGGGCCGTCGTAGGATGGCCAGCCGGCTGCCCGCAGCAGCATGGGTTGTCCGTCGGCGACATTTCGGCGTCCAATTTCTCAGACAATTTCCGCTCCAAGTGTCTGCCCTCACTCACACCAGCACTTGGGACACCCAGCCACCTGTCGAAGCTCCAAACGGCAGTCCAATCGACACCAAGACGTCCCAAGAGTCGCTCAAACAGGAGCACACAATAGAAGTCACTTCACCTGCCGGCGCATGCGCGCCACCTCAATAGAATGCCCGGTGATACATTCATAAACACAATTTGCAACTAAATGAGGGAATAAATTTACTTATAAAATTGTCCAAACAATTAGATGAAATTCAGTTCAATTCACCATTTGCGAAATCAAATAACATTGGTTCTTATGGCAGCTTCATCTTAGAATGATTGAATCTTTTCAATCCTAAGACATGTTGTACAAAATTAAAAAAAAATATATTGGCGTTGGAAAAATCAAAATTGGTTCAGCGTGGGGCTGTAGTCAGGCGATCAAAGATTTGTAAAAGCTCAAAAAATTGGCTTCAGTTGCCTACTTTACAAATCTTTGATCGCCTGACTACAGCCCCACGCTGAACCAATTTCGATTTTTCCAACGCCAATATTTTTTATTTTGCATCTACTACAACATATCTTAGGATTGAAAAGATTCAATCATTCTAAGATAAGGCTGCCATAAGAACCAATGGTATTCGATTTCGCAAATGGTGAATTCAATTCAGTTATAAACAATTCAGTGCTGTAACTATCTTGTTGCAAGGGAAATTGTAAGCCCAACAATCTTATGAAAACCTTGACAACCTTGAACTAATGACAAGAATTTTTAACGCCTTGCGAAATTTTTTTTGAAAACCCTTGAAATCGACAATTATGTCTTATGTCTATAGACGATTAGAGCATCAATTTTATTTCTATAACAAATTTTATAGTGAGAATTGTACCCTGACTTATTTTAAAAAGCGTGACTTTTCTTGTAACAATGCTTAAAAATATACAGAAGTATTGAATTCCTAAAGAAATTTTATTTTTACTTCTGTATTTTTTGTTTAGCAATGAGTTTACTAGTATGAAAACTTGCACCACATCTGATTAATGTGTCGTGGTAACTTTTAGTTTGCTAATTATAGCTCTTCATTTCATTAGAGTCGTCTGCTTTTTATTCGCTGACCCTGTAAGGGTGGCATATCGATCGATCATAAATGATGCGTAACCAGTGGATGCTACTCTACTCACCTTTATTTTCACTTGAATTATATCCATCCAGCATCACCGGCGTGCATATGTATGCATGATGTGCAAAAAAGATCCTCATGCCAAGGCCAAACACGGTAAATTTCCACCTTTCGCACTTTCCATTCTGCAATAGCTAACGTAGTATATACGCTCAAACATGCATGGTTGTTTCTGTTGTTGCCATGCTGCCGTTTTACTGCTCAATAATTAGCAACTTTCAATCACACTGGTCAGCAGGCAGCATTTGATTGAGGGAAAATTAATGCTATTGCTATATTCAGTATTCAATTCTTGATGCTAGAACTCATAGAAGTTTGAGTTCAGCGTAATTTTACTGATTGATTCATTTCATTCATTTTGTACAATTAAAGAGCCTCATTATAAAAACTCACAAACATTTACTTTTATGATTACAAAAATAAATAAATAAAAAAAAAATGCAAGTTAATTTTTAAGCAAAGTAATGATAATAATAATTCTAATATTATAAAAATTATATCATTGAATCAATAACAAAGTGGTTATTCCGCTGTTATTTATAATCTTAGTTTGGTGCATTTTGCAAGACATAAATCTCCCGGAAGTGAAGCACCAAGCTGATCAGCGCGCGTAATACATTGCACAATGAAATCACACATAATTTTTCGGTCAATTTGCGCCGCCCTGGCCTTTTCCCTTACGCACAAAATCCGCTTGATGGATTTTGCAACGGGTCTTTATGATTTTATAGATTCGCAGAAGCAACACATACGGGCACGAATATTACAAGGCTCGCGACAGCTGTTGGAAATATAATAATTTATGACTGCAAAATGGGCTTTTCTAATAAACACGTTTGAGAAATATGACGTGATCTTAATTGCAAACTTTTCAAAGAGGTTTTCTGACCAAATTATTGAGACATAGACTTAAATCATAAGAATACTACTAACTACTGTAGTATAAAATATTATCAAATTAAAAATGCACCCATTTTTTATATAGGGAGTTTATGAACTTTGACTGGTAGAAGGGACTAGAATGGTGGATAAAAGTTTTTTGATTTTATTTTTCACTACCCCAAAACAATCCCAAAAATTAGAGCCTTGATTCTAAAACTTAATTGTTTTTTTATTTTATTTACATATTTTTTGTCAGGCTTTTTTTAATGGCGGAGAAGGCGTCACTCAATATTGTCTTTATTATTTTATTTTGTTTTTTGGTTTGTCTTCATTGAAATCAAGCATCACTTATTTCGCTGGCATAAACTTAGTTTAGCGGCGACTCGATGATGCTGAAAATGAGACAAACTGAAAAGAAAAGGTTAAGAATTAAAATGGTGTGGGGAATGGGATCTGGTTAAGATTGATTTTGATTAGGTGGGAAATTATGCTGAATTACTATCAGAGGAAAAAATTGACCTCTGAATTAAGTGTGCCGTTTTTATTAGGAATAAATTTTAAAACGATAATACAAATATCATTTTCTTCTGGGTTTAATTTTTAAAACCTGATAAAACTCCAATGATTTTTTTTTTTTATAAATTTAATAGTTTTTTTCTCATGAAAAGCAACTACGTGAGTGAGTTTTGCTAGGAATATTTGAACTCTAAAAGATGACCTTTAGTGGAAAAATAAGAGAGGGTCTTTTTATACATCTGAAGATGAAAATTAAATTCATTACTATTTTTTTTTGCACGGAGAGTAATTAAAACAAATAACCTACTATACAGTTTTGACAAGTGAAATTTCTCACGCTAATCTAATAGTTTTTTCCCTTTGCCCTGAACACGGGTTTTTTTCTCTAAATTTTAATTTTAGACCTGACATGTTCTAAAGTCTACTGTTAATATTCTTGTCTTAACAGAACAACAATAAAATTGAATTGAAAGGAATTTTCAGCACAACGTTAAAAAACTGCTAACAGAAACCCACCCATGCATAAATTTGACTCCGCACACTTTATTTGCAGAAAGAACCTGTTTTCAATAAGTTCACTCGTTCTGCAGAATGAAAATTTTCTTTCACTTCCAATCCCTTTGTTCAAACTTGCTGGCTTAAACGCCCCCACACGTATATATGGACCGTCTAGACGCTCGCAGCTTCCATTTATCAGGTGATATTCAGGTGCAGCGCCAACATCTTCGACCACTTTCACTCAACAGCAGCAGCCGGCAGGGCGATGATTGCCTCTAATTGCGCCAACGGCCGCGGCTGTGCAGTTAAATAATATTGACCCAGTCCCGAAATTGCGCGCTAAAATTCAATTGCTTGGCTGTGCTAATTCCACATAATATATTTTATATACCAAAAAAAAATCGGTAATTTAATTACAACCTGGCATTTTCATTTCTTTCAATAAATTTCAAAATATTAAATAATAATTTTGATCCGATAATGAAATTAATTTTTTTACCTAAAATTTAATTTTAGTTGCAACTTAGGAGTTTCATTGGGTTCAAATTGAGTAACTTTTCCCATACATGAACTCATCAAAGTTAATAAAATTTCGCTCTCATCAATTCAAATAAATTTACCCCCCCCCCCCACCCACCCCAAAAAAGAACTAATTTGTTGGTGCCCTTTATAAAGGGCTCAGGCTGACAAGACGTCTGATGGCCTGATCCTAAAAAAGGTGTTTCTGATAATGATGAATAAAGTTCCTGACCCGGAACAAAAATTTATAATTAAAATTATGATATTAAATTTAAAATATTGATAGAAATAATAGTTATATGATAATTTTATTACTTGATTTTTACTTATTAAAATACACATTATTTTTATTTTCTTTAAATTGAAAAAAACTGCTGTTAATATCTTTTTGTCCACCAGAACAAGAAATAAAATTTTCATAAAATGCTTTGCCATCGTCCTTCCTATGACTTTCATGTTGCACCCAGACAGTACATGGGTGAACGTTCCCAGCAGAGAGCATTTTCTCACGAGTCTACTAATCAACGATAATTGCATTTGCGTCAAGTCGGATGTTGTATTTGTCTCCAACACCGCAGATATCGAGTGTCATCAAATGAATTGCTTTGATAAACACGAGCTGATAGCAAATGACGCTCGCCATAGTCCAGGATTAAATTTCTACTTAAAGATGTATCTCATCTATAATAAACAGCACTGTTGATATTATTGAAAAAATTTTTTAACCAGGAAATGAAGGAGTCGAGCTTGTCTTCGTTGTAAAAATTTTTTTATCCCAAAACAAAACGGCTCTACCAGCTTCGGTCACGGTCTGCGACCCTACTTCATGAGCAAGAAAAATACAAAAAATCAACATCAACATTATGATCCCAAGAATTTTCAATACTCTTTCCAAAAGAATAAAAAACATCGATAGTTATCAAGTGTTTAAGACGGCATAGGAATTAATATTCTATGACAAAATTTTCTATGACGTGCATGATTTTTTTTGTGTAAAATATTGTGAGCTGTATTTTAAATTTAGTAAGCTGCATTATAGTTATATTAAGTTATAGCTGCATTATAGTGACCTATTCCAAAGATTATTTATGTACATATGTTGATCTATATGGAATAAATATTATCTGAATCTTGAATTTTTTACTTGCTCAATTGTGAACGTTTTTTTCAATTCCTGAGAATTCCTCTATATAATCGCGGCGAATTAAATTTCTGGAATAGCGTGGAGATCTTTGCGGCCATAAGCTGCAATTTGGCTTCTTTTATTGCAAGCTGACCTATGAAATTTGCCATTAGGCCGCAAGAGGAAAGTTTGCCGACGCGAGCAACGTGCTTTTATAATCTAGTGATCGGATCATTGCAGACGCACTTGCTTTTGTTATTAAATTTATATCTAAACCGAGAAAAGAGAGAAGAGGGTCAGTCACTACCGGGTGTTGCTTGTGTCACGTGAATGTCAGCGGTTCCTATAGCGGAAAAAAACGCAGTTTTTTTATTTGAAATTTGTTTAGTTTTCTCCTGATCTGTAATAATTACATAAGAAAGTTATTTACCACAATCA